TGCTTTTCGTATGCAAAATAGTGAAAACTTTTGGTAAATTATGTCCCCAAAAACACAATTAATTGATTCTTCTTTTATTTCAACATTTTTTGATACGAAAACGTAACAACTTTTCAATGATGAGAAATTAGTATGCATGTGGTTTAGTTTCAAAAAACCAAAAGAAATAATGCAGTGATTTGAGTGGAATGTTTGAAGGAATTTTCGTCTGTATTCCATTCAAGATCTGTGAAAGATGTAACGATAAAAAATTCACAATATACAGCAATGGTGCGTTTACAAGAATCGTGGTAGAATCATTATGTGATTTTATTATTGAAGACAATTACAGACAATCTTATGAATCGCATTTAGAGCTGACCAGCTGACTCAGATAGAAATCGAGTAACTACCTCTATGTTGATGTGCACGAGCCAATAATAAAAGTGAACGAGTTTTGGAGATTTTCTTCAAATATACTCTCGGCTCCTTTTTAGCACTACATGAAAGGTAGAGCTACTAATTTGCTTTTTTTCTTAATACTTTTTGAGTGATGAAACAAATTATGGTGAATTTGAATTTTATGCTTATATTTTTTATTTAATTTAAAACAGTGGCAGTAACGACAAATAGGTGCATAATATCTCAAAGCGCCAATCAAATTTTTGTTATCAAAAGTTGTTTAAAAATTACATTAATTTTTCGTATAGTATTTTCCTGAGTCTTGAACAGAATTAAAGTGATTTTAGATTCTATGCTCATATTATATATTCAATTCAAACCAGAGGCAGTTTATTTCAAAAAAGAAATAAAACCAAGATCTTGTAATTCATTTTGCAAATAAATATATTACTTCAAAGTTACTTTGATGAAATACATTTCATGTAGTGCGCCAAAAAATAGTTTGTTGTGAAACAACAAAATAGAATAAGTAACTAAAAACTCAAGAACGGTCTTGTTTGTTGTTGCAATGACTTTGACTCTACTTTCGATTCTTTACTGCTGGATATGGGTGGGATATTTCGATGCTGAACATTATTCAATCCACAGCTTTACTAGAAAAATAATTTAAAATAGTTTGCACTGGAACCAAATACACCGATTGGATACATCACAGTGCTATGCTTTGGAGTGATTGCAGCTGAATCTTCACAATTATTCCTCTATGTGCCTCTCATACTTTTCATATCCGTTTGTTTTCATCAAGATGCTTCCTACAAAATGTTCCGACATTTATTGCGTCAGCTTGAATCATTCGATAAAAACCTGAACAATGGACAGATCCTACAGGATTTAATTCAATCTCATATGGCTTACAAGAAGTGAGTTTTAAGAATAAGGCACTTGATACTCACATATAGTTACTAAAAATACATGGGTTAATCGAATAGCTGAAATTTCGTATGATTTTTCGCAGATTCTTTTTTACATCCGCTCGAATCTATCGATTCAATATTTTGTCACAACTCGTATGCAGTGTAATTACATTGGCTGTTGTCATTTTTCATATTGATCGGGTGAGTTTGTTATGTTTTATCTTGCGTTTTATTTTATTCAATTGCCGTATCTACGCCTCAGGGAGTTTGTTTTCAATCGAATTTTGAAGAAAAGGTCCGACACATCCAATGATTCTCCATCCAAAAATTGTTCGATTGTGGAATTTAACGTTATGGACCCCTTTTTCTAAAGTTCAATCGATCGTTTGAAATAATTCCGAACAATTGTTGTGGAATGTCGTAGAATACCGACACATGACTAATTGAGTTATCATAATTTAATCAGCGAATCACGGACTTCAATGCTGACGTTGTCTACCTTCTGTTTGTACTATATGTTCGAATAGTGTACCTCTTCTTGTACTGTTATTTCGGGAAATTGGCTACGGACAACTACAAGAAAATGGCTGACAGCTTGTACGAGAGTAATTGGCAAGATCTACCAGTCAATTTGCAGAAGTTTTTCGTCTTTATGATTGGAAAAGCAGCCAGACCACTTCAATATGATGCATTTGGAATTACTGCTTTGAATTTGGAAACATACACTAGAGTACGTTATTGTGACTATGAAAAAAATAAGATTTCATTTGAATCATAAACTAACGAACACTAATTTACAGATCCCGAAGGCTGTCTATTCTTACTACATGGCGTTCAAAAGCATAACATCGAAATGAAGAAACAACAAAAAATGAACATTTTAATAATACAAATGATATTTAGCTATACATCAACCCCTCATGATTAAAAAATATAACAATTGGAATTTGTACTGTGTGTAAAATGATCAAATTTGTATGAAGAGTAAAACACATCAAATTCAAATTGCTATATTTTTGAAATTGATGAATATTTTTGGAGGAAACCTTTCTGATTAACTATTTATTAAAAGGTTGTAGAAACGATGTGCAAAATAATAGGAGTCTAACTATTTCCGAAATATGTTAACGGATCTATTAAAAATGGTCAATTCGTATGAAAAATGCGTAGAAAATTTGCGTTAACAATTAGATGAATATTGACATCTTACTAGCATTATGTTTGTTAAACTAGCTGCTAACACTTGTCCGACCAGAAAGTGAAATCCTAATGATTTTGTGGTGAAGAATGGTTGAACAAATTTTGATTTATTCAATCAATTCAATTGTTCAGTGAAATATTTGAAAAATTGGCGTTCATATTCTAAGCAACATCTATGACATATGTAACGTTAAAGACTGTTTATTAAACTATATAACACACAGCATACACGGTAGCATAGGGACCTAATAGATAGTTGCTTCAGGGAAAATGAATGGAAAGCAGTATACCAAAACAATAACTGAAAATGATGCAAGTTCTGTCCACTTTTATTCGTTGTTAGATAGATTATAAATTGATTTTCAATGATTTCTTCTTTCTATCATATTAATATCGGTTTAAAAAGTCACATCAACATACAAAATGGACTTCAAATCACTTTAAAGTGTATATCTTTAGCGTCATGCCATAGCTTGCAAACTTGAAAACTGTATTGTGATAATTCATCAAATATTCTTAAACTAAAACAATATGTTAGACATTTTAATTAGCTGTCAACAGAACAAAATGCTATCAAGGAATTTTTCATATTTTTTCCTTTCTTCTTGTAATGATATGGAATGAATGTCTATAAATATTTCTTATCTCAAAGTTTTCCTATCTATTATCAGTATCGTAAAAATTTATGAGAAAAATAAATTCAGAGGTGAATTGGCTTTTTTGTGTGTACGATATGCGCGTAACTGATGATAGATAATGTAGTGGATAAGACACGAATGTATTAAATATGAATATAAAGTCGACCAGACAGCTGCATACGCATTCGTGTGCAGAAATATGCGCCGGACGATCAACAATTGCCCAGATAATATATGGGTTATTATATGATGACATGTAATACAATTCTAATCAATAAATCAGTCTTATTCACTACCTCAAACTGGTAGCGTTATAATTAACCCACTAAATTAAAAGATAACTGTTCACAGAACCTCGTGTACTACAACTCCAAAATTCTTATACACCAAGTTGCTATCTCTTATCAGTCGTAACAAATGGAAAAATCCGCAACAATTATTTGACATGTAAACATACGCAGACAGAACCAACAGAAAACATACTCTTCAGACATGGAAATCGATTATCATCATTCAATCTTGAATATCATGAAAAATTGTCATGTTCTGGCATTTATTTGCCGATATATTCCAATAAAATATATTCAAGCGATATTTCATTGAGCTTTATGCTCTGTTTGCGTCACTCCGATGGATAACGACGATAGCGAACACTTTTTTCCTAATCGCACTGCTAAAAAAGGCCGCTATTAATCACTGTCTTTAGAAATGTTATCTGATTTACTACGACGTTTGCTGAAAAAATGACTCTTTTAAAACATTTTCTTCAATAAGGAGATTCACCGAAAATAGATTGAAAGTGTGTGGCTTGCATCCCTAAATCAATGGTAATGGCATTTGAATGTGAATTAGTGATTGATTTGCAACTCACACAGCTTAAATCGATGAACGATTCATTTCAAATAGAAGAATTGAGGTTATGTTATTTGCACCAATTGGTGCATTCAATTAATTGCTCAAATAAAACAGCAGCGGTTTGGGTTTTTATATGAAAATCACTTTAGCTTTATTCATGGACCTTATGATTAGAGAACAATCGCCAGAAATGCGATGGAATTATTTCTTTTGGGCTTCCAATTGTGCACGGAGCTGATTGTTGAAATCATCTTCTACGTTGTCGTCGTCCCAATTGTCTTCCCAAACGTTGACTTCGTCTTCGTTTTCTTTGCCATCGGCCCATTCTATTGTGAAATCGAAAAAAATAGCATTAGTCTTCACTTGAAATATTTTCTGGTGTGATTGTTATTTAATTCCCATCGAAAAACAGCGTCGTTTTAACAAAGTGACTGTAAGTAGCCACAAACTCTGTTGCCAACACTGAATATGACTTGCATGAAAAACGAAAAAAAAACTCTTACCTTCAACAGGGAATTCCTCGAATTCATCGTCCTCTTCCAAGCAACCGAGATTTGGATTGTTCTTGTCCTTGTCTTTATCAGCCATATTTGAATTTTATTTCGTTTTTTCTGCAAATTTCCAAAATAAAACTAACTCAAGAATTATTGTTAGGCGCTTTGCTGTTGTTTCAATGAATAAGCAATAATCATGTAAATATGACGGCTGTCAAATTGCAGAGTTTTCGAGTACATTCGGTGTTGCCATCGCAGTATTTTTCTAAGTATTCACTAAGTATGTATACGTTTTGGTTTGAATGGAACTGCTTTTAGAAGTGGGAATTTCAACCTTTTTCATGTTAAAAAAATCTTCTATTGAATTCATCTCATTCAAACATACAAAAGAAACATTTTTTGATTCAAAAGTATAACAAACATTTCCTTCTCTCTTAAACTAACTCCATTCCAAAATAGGTTGATTCAAAAAGTGCGACACGAATGGAATATCAAGTCTTGTACCGTTTGTCAATGTTGCCAGCAAAGTACCTTGCGAATCGGTTTGATGGGGTTCGCTTGAAATGTCGTTAGTACATCAAGCTGACACACACAATCACACTCAACCAACACCACCGTACGCATCTAATGAAGCTGTCATCGACGTTTATTTTTGTTCGACATTATTACATGAATGGTGATTCTCTCTTTCTACGAACCACACAAACGAGCATAAACATTTGCATGGAGTGGCTGCACATTTTTGCTAGTGGCCACAAGAAAACAAACGCACTTTTAAAATTTGTCTCAATTGCAAATCGCAGCACCGCCCCAAAATAAACCAATTGAGTGAATAAAGTGTTTGAAAAAGTGTCGGAATCATAAACAATTTCATTGGACTTTGGAAACAAAGGGAACAGAACGATTCCAAACGAAGAAGAGAAAAAAAAGTAGTTCGTGTCTTTCATAACAGCACACCAAATTCAATGTTGTTGTGAAATATCGGTTGGTGTGTATTCAGACTCACAGCGGATACACTTGTAGGCAATATTTGAAAAAGAAAGCGCAAAAAAGCAACAAAATTACGTTTGGCCAAACACAACAAAGAAGCACCGAGAATAACAAAGACCACGAAAACAACAACAACGTGAAGAAGAAGAAGAAGAAGGAACAGAGAAAAAAAACGATCCGTCTGTATGAACGAAAAACGAATGTACGTAATTTTGTGTGCGAAGTCAACAGTGTTGGTGTATTGGTTTCAATGACACACATCCACTTAAGAGCATTTCATCGTCATTGGTGTTGTTGTTTGTGGGTAAATTACGCGCACGTGTAAGTGTGTATATGTATCGTATACAAGCCGTTGAAGTTCCATCTCTTGCCACAAACGAAACAGAAAAAAAAGCAATTGCTATTAGACCAATGTGCGTGTGCGGGATGCATGTGAAATAACAATCAACACACAAACACAATCCCAACAACAATCGTCCGTGTTTCGATTTCATTTTCGTCAAACGTTATCCGCAACGCTGCATGCATTGATAATCGTGCAGATAGAGAGCACAAGTGAATTTCGGAGAGAGCGTGATAGAGAAGAAAATCACATTGTCATATCATTTGCAAATTAAAACGAATAAATATTACGCCGAACAAGCGCGCAGAAGAAAAAAAAACGCACAGCCAGAGAGTGCGGAATTTGTTTTTGGTGGATCAATCAGAAGTGCCGAAAAACTTTGATAACGAGCGAGTACGAAAAAAATGCAGTGGAAAGGTAATTCGATGAACATTGTGTCGGGTCACACAGTTAAATCGTAAATCATCAAACACAATGTTGAAATATTCTCGATGAGAAGCTGTGAAAAGACGAGAGAAGAGGAAACAAAAAATAGAGACGAGTTTTTCATGCATACACAATATTCGTTCAAGTGTGTATTCGCGTCAGCTACGTCAGTTTTGATGGAGTGAACATTGTTCCGAAGGCGAAGTCGCGTGTGTGTCTAACTACATGGATCGTCGAATTTCAATGTGTTTCTAGTTCCAAACAAGTCGACAAAAAAAGAAGAACGAACAAATTGGCCACACAAGTTTTTTTTTCTTTTTTGTTCCAATAATTCGTTAATTTCGGTTTCGTTTGCAGTTAATTCGGGCCGCCTCATGTGATTTCCTAATTTTCGGAATTTCGAGTTTCTTTTCGATTTCACGAGACTGCTTGTGAAATCAATTTTCGCAGCATTTTTTTTTATTCACGGTATCGTGACTAGCACGCAAAACACACCATTCAACTGTCTGGTTGAGTTGTGCGAGTTGTGTAAGTCGAGTTTAGAAAAGAAATTTTCGGGTTTTTTCTGCTTGTTGCTACATTATTGTCACATTGGCCATAACATTGGTCAACCGTAGCTTCATGTGTGTGCACGCGTGATATTTTCATTTTTAAAATCATTTGATTCGAAACGTGTTTGTGTTTGCAAAACAGCCAAGTGCTATTGAAGACAAGAGGAGAGAAAATCGTGAAATCAAAGAAAAGTCGTGCCTTTCATTGTGTGTGCGCTAGCGCCGATAGCAAAAGAGAGTGACAAACAACCGATCGGTATTCAACGATTCGTCGTGCATTTCAAAAATATACACAAAAACACCGATCACCAGTGGTGCGCGCTGCGTCCAAACCATATATATACTCCACGAGTAACGCCAAAATACACAAAACACCATATTATACACATCGCAATTTGGCGCTTGATTGAACTTCGCGCGATCGATTGTCGTTTTTTTTCTCTACTATGGCCGACTTTGATGCAATCTACGAAGATGTACAAGATGAGGAACCACTTCCACCATCCATACCAAAGACCGAACCCATCCTCATTCGTGGCACTGGAAATATGACTGTGTATGTTTTTGGTGTTTTTTTCTCCATTGCTTGTATTGAACAGAAAACAAAATGCAAAGCACCAACGCTATTTTTTTTCTACGCTCAAGGCATTTTCATGGTCGTTTCTATTTTTGATTTTACAGTTTTGGATTAAGTAGTAGCTTTAACACGAGTTTCCCCGCTGGCCTGCAATCACGCGTAGCGCCCGAAGAGTTCAAAGCGACCGTTGGCCGAGTGAATAATATTCTAAAGAAATCCTTACCATTAAAGTAAGACCCCGATTTTGTTTTTTATTTGCAATTACCTTTTCGTTCACTATTTCCATGGTATTTCGACATGTGTACTAAGCTTGTTGTTTTTCTTTTTTGTTCTCTATCTTTCGAAACAGCATTAAGTGGCTTTTTTGCGGATGCATTTGTTGTTGCTGTACGTTAGGTTGTTCTTTCTGGCCTGTGATATGTTTAAGTAAACGAGTAAGTAAACATATTTTTTTTTCCTAATACATACTACCAGCCATTTGGTGGAACATGTGTTTTCTGGATCAATTGCATTGAAAATTTTAATTGTTTCCAATTTAGAAGATTATTAATTAATGATGCCAACAACAATGTTCTTTTTTTCTGTTCATTTTTCATCTGGGAACAACATTTAGACACAACACACAATCAACAAACTGTTGGAATGGGAAAATCAACATTTGTACAACAAACTGGGACTACGCTGGCGATTAAATAAACAACAATGTGACACAAACTCAATGCTGGAATACGTGTTGATGATTGAATTCTTGCCAAAAATTGCCATTTATCGTCCGGATTAGAGAAGCAGACAACGCTTAAAATGCTCCAGCAACATTTCAACTGAAACCGATCCAACATCAACCATATTTACTTCTGCAAAATGTTGATAGAAGTTCGTTTAAAATGTTAGGCTTTAACTTGCAACTAAATTCTTCTATTTTTTCCTCCCTTTTGGCTACGATTTGGCATTCATTTTAGATTTTAAGGCAATTTGTTTACATTTCTTATCAACACGTTTTATTTACGTTTTCGCTTGCAACAACAAAGGAAGCGTTTGTAATCGGAGCGAAGCGATTGGGCATGTTTTGTCACTGTTTTGTAAACATTTTGTTGGAATATTTAGAATCAATCGTGTTCTATTTGATGAAGAGCAGAAGAAAAAAAAATTCGATCATACTTTTTGTATGTTTTTATCAAAATGCCGCCCTTTTGAATCGTGATCATCGATCTCTTGTGATGACAAGCCTCAATGGCTTTGCTCCGTGAATATTTTCAATACCAGTAAAACTTCAGCTGCAATTATTTTTACGAAATTATTTTAAAAGCATCCAAAATTTTAACAAGCATCCTCTACACTCTAGGCAAAAGTATTTTAGACCGAGCTAGACTCGCACCATTCAGTGTAAATTAGCAAATCATTTTAAAATTCATTTCATTTCTTATGTTTTTTTTTGAAATAAGTCAAAATCACAATTTTGTTTTTCTCAACAATCATTTTCAATTTTGGTCCTTTCCACTTTGCAAGGATGAAGAAATTTATTCAACTTTAGCATAAGCATTACAAATTACTACTACTTCAATGATAAATAAGGTTGGAGAAGAAGAAGAGGAGAAAACAACCATGTAAATAAAATGCGATAATTAAGTTTCGATTGTTGACAACCGATTCAACCAATTCAATTTTATTTTTGTAATAAAGTGTAAACATTTACAATATGTATTAAAACGAAACAAAACAAAAAAAAACGAAGAGATTTGATGAACGGAAAAAAAGCGAAAATGCAACGGATTGTATAATGTAAATGATTTGCAAATCAGAGATTAAGCGGTCGAAATGTAGAATTTAAATGAGATGAGTAAGAATGATTTTTTTTTGTTTCGAACTGATGATAGAAAAAAAGGCTTGGATGACAGCAAACACCACGAAAATCTATTTGAACAGAGAGTATTTACACACATGCACCTAAATTTCACGAAGAGAGAGATAGAGAAAGAGAGCAAAGTCTACTTCAAGAAGAATGAAAACAACAAAACACTATAAACAAAACTGAAGCTTCCCAAAAACTAATTTTAAGGACAACAAACTAAAACTAAATGTATATATTTTTAAGAGCTTGTTCACATGAAAACTACTCGTTGTGAAATTTGTTGAACTTATTTAATCATGTTCCGAGATTTGAAACAAAACAAAATTGTACGTAGAAAGAACAAGTCCATGGAATATATATATAACAATCGTAGCCGCAATATACTGAACGAATCAACAGAAGATCTATTTATATATACACATAAAACAGAAAAATAGCTAAACTCATTAAAAGCACATATTTTGGGTACACATATTTTCCAAAATGCCTGGAATTACAATCATTGCCAAATGGGTGGTTGTTTTTTTTTATCCCATTTTGGATGGCAATGCGATACGATGGGACTATTTGGTACAGCGTCGCGACTAATTGAATAAAGGTTGAATGTGGAATGCTGAAATCATTGAACTGTCTGAACTTAGAATGTGTATGCGTGCACTGTACATGTAGAACGGGATCAATGTTGACCCAAAATAACAATATTTAAATGCGGACATTTTTTTTGTTTCGCTTCAAACTGTTAGCCGATGTAATTGTTGAAAAATAAAACCGCTACATGTTCTTTTTTTCGTTCGTTGAGTATGTGAAAATACCATCTCATTTTATTTCGCTTGCGACACAACGAATTCAGTTGTTTTCGGATTATGTTTTTTCTATCGTTATCATTTCAAGTAACAGTTCGATTCGATTAGTTGGAATCATGTCATACACCATTTCGGATACGATTTATTTACGCAAACGGTATGTTTTTTTGCCAGTTTGTAACCATTTACCTCTATAAAACGCCATGTTTTCTGCTTCAATACAAACATATCCAAGATTTCGGTTTTTGGATTCTTTGACACAGAAATCGCCACAGAATCGAATGAAATACTGCTACCGAACGAAAAACAAGAAAATTGTTTTTGTTTTTTTGTTGTTGCCTCAAATAAAACAGAATATAAATGGTCAGACAAAAAAATTACACTTTATTTATTTAGTAAGAAGATGGAACTAACTATGGTTACATACCTATTAGTGACTTACCGAATAACACAACAAATCACTGATTAAAAAGCATATTTACAAGTTACAAATTCGTTGAGAAAAAAAATGATGAAAAAAACACATTGAAATAGATTACCAAGTTATCGAAATAAAAATCAGTCTTGAAATTGAAAATTGATTGTGTGTTTTGCATTTTGTTGGAAATTGACGATAGATGGGAGTTGGATGAAGTTGTGTTTGTCCTAGGCTCTTTTTGGAAGTTGTGTTTGTATTTTGGTCGGATGATTGTACATCGAAGACAAAGACTCCTTAGGTTTATTTTGGCTTTGGTCATTGGTTTAGATAGAAAAGCCCAGTTTGGTATCCATATCATCATGACGTCCACAGTTTGTTTGCGGATCAATCAGTTCGGCGCGTGTGCAAATAATCGCGGAATTGTCAGAATCGCTGTTTGCGATGGAATCCAGCACTCATCAAAAGCCAAATCGATGTGCAAATATAAATTGTCGACATGAAGCAGCATGAAAAAAAACTGATTCACTTCAAATTTCACGGTCACTTGAAGCGTGGCAATACCATATTTTTTTTCTTTTGTGGCTAATAACTTTTGAATTTCATCTGCTTCTCGGTGTGTGCCCAATTCCAAAGCATTTGGCGAAAAAATGAGCCAACTCAAAATAATTGGTATGCGCAAAAAGAACCTCAAACCTTTCAATCCACAAAATCATGACCGGTTTTTATTTGTAATTTTTTCTTTGGTTTCGTTGTCGGCGTTTTGTTGTGCGTCCATACACACAACACTCACGACACGGGCGAAGGAAAAAGAAAAGAAACGAAATCGAGAAATACATTTGGTTCCATAAAATTCGAGCATCGGACAATAGTTTTTGTGTGCGCAAAAAATTTAGGGTAATTTCGGTCATTATTTTACAACACACACCAAGATTGGGCTCGCAAAATAGTGTGTACATGTACAATGGTGCGAGATTTTGCACAACTCAACGCTTTTGTGGCGAATTTTAAATGATTGAATGACATGCACACACCATACAACAATCGACATCAAACCGAGTGAAGACAAGCGTCTCGCATTGTTTTGCATGTGCCCTGAGATGGATTCTACTCTCGTTAATCACATCTCGTCGCTTGTTGCCATTTTATCATGCTGAATGATTCGGTCTAGTTATTTCTCTCGCTCGCTCGTTCGCTCGCTCGCATTCACTCTCGGGCATCATTTCTGTCTCACGTCTTTCTTATTGCCATTCGCCAAATTGCAAAAATCAACTGAAACTATTGTACACATTCACGCAAACGGTGTGTATCGAAGAGCGGTGGCAACAAAAGAAATGATAGATGCTTATGGTGTGTATTTTTATTTCTTTTTTTTATTCTTCTCTGTGTTTGACTTCAATCGCATAGAAAGGTTCATAACGGTCTACAGCGTGCCACCCAACAACACTGGCCAATCTGTGTCCTGCCATCATGCTCTCAGTTTTCTATTGACTTTTACAGAGGTTAGTGCTGAATATTTGTTTTTTTTGGTTTTATGTTGGTTTTATGTGTCTTGAAAGAAAACAAATCAAAGCATTTGGTTCAAAAGTTACCCAAAATTTTACTTCTAAACATAGTTAGAAGCATCCAATTCAAAAACACTCAATTTTACAGCATAGTCAAAATCATAAAGCGCTTGGTAAGTGTTTTTTTTGTTGACCGTTCATTTTTACAAGAAAATACCACATTGCGAGTTTATAGTGTGTCTGTTTGTCAAGACGTCAACGAATTCATTCTTGTTTCGCCGAATTGAAAATACGATTGATTCACAACCGGGCTCTGCACTTTCAAGCATTGTTGACAATATTTTTTGCGATATTTTTCGTTCGTTCGTTCGTTCGTTCGATTGTATGATGTAAGCTGAGCTAAGGAATATTCCATCACATCCATTTAATGAAACGTGTCTCAAGTGTGATGTTTTAAAATGTTATGTGTGGGAACGTCATCTTCTATCGACCACAACAACAACAAATGAAACCATTTGAAATTAGTTCCAAGAAATTTGAGTGATGGATTTTGCTGGTGCTGCACCTCTTCAACCGATTCGCTCACAATGGAAACGTTTTTGCGTTTATGCAAATGTTGATGAGGGCTCTGACACTGGCAGCAGGTAAAACCCTCTCGTCCGATTGAGAGAATGTCGGAGGATTCAACGAACTGGAAATTCGTTCGACGCCAACGATCGCCTTGAGGATAGAAGAGGCATCGTTTGCAAAGTGAATCATTTATCGATCATTTCAGAAAATATACTCATGACGTTTTTTTCTCTCTTCTCTCTTTATGCTATTCAAACACATCATCGACTAATAAATATTCGACATACCAAACCAGTCGGTGAAATCAGCCAAAGTGGCAATTTTATGCTCATTTTCTCGACTTCTTCGTATGCTCTCTTTTTGTTGCTCATTTGCAAAGCATTGTTCGTGTTTAAAGCCAGATTTATGTGTGGCAAAAATTACTAAATCATGTATTGAAGACGATTCCAAACTAATTTCAAGTCAATTCCAAAGGTCCACATCAAAAATTCCAGGAACATGCATGCAAATTTTCCAATCCTTTTTTTTCTCATGAGTGTTTAGCGTTAGCATAACTTGATTCGAGAAGAAGAGCACCGACTACCGGTTACTGATTATATAGCGATGATATTCATTCGCCCAATTTCCATATCAACACAGTCATTAGTGCAACAATAGACACTTTGACTCGACGCACATTCTCCACTCATGTCAGTATAATCAATTTTTTGCATTATTTTGAGCACAGCTTTATTTCATGATTGCGATTGAGAAAAAAGTGTACCGGAACACACACACACACCGTTTAAGGTTAAATTCAAATTCGCAGCTGAAAAAAAAGCAAATTGGCAACCTTGGTGGTTTTTGGCGACTTCGTCATGAGTGAGCACGACAACGTCATTTTTCCAAAGAAAAAACAAAGCCAACCATTTCAAACCCCAAGGGAAAACACATGGTGTGCGTTCACTTCAAATGCCGCTGCGATATTGACTGAGTATGAGAGTTGACGATGTATTGTGAGTACATCTGTTTCGTTGATTTTGATGGTCTCGGTTCTTGTGTCAAACTCACCGAGCTCATTCAGCTGTGGAAACACGAATACGCATGCAAAAAATTCCCAATCGATGATTTTCGCGACGATTCGATTAATTTGAATCATCAACGCCAAAACGATCTAAGCGACGCTTGCGATCGAACAGGAACATAACACAAGAAAGAGTACCGATCGTTTCGATCGCACACAAACTCGCGCGATAGAAGAAAACAAAACATCTATCAACCCATCGATGTGTGTGGTTATTTGCTCCATCATTGATGTGTGCGGAATTTTCAGTCGCCAAATATTGTGTGTGAGTTGCGATTCAAAATGAAATGGAATAGCGTTAGCACAAGCCACTGAATGGATCGCGATGCGAGAAATGAGAAAAAAAGCGGAGCGATTGCAACACATCACTCGCAGGCGGCGATAATACGGAGATTAGCCAGAGAGCTGTGTACGCGAGGTCCCACGCGAGAGCAGAGGGAAAAAATGAGCGCCGTCACTTACATGTATGCACAATCTCCATATCGCATTGCCCGTTTTGCCTGTAACGTTGTTTTTGTTGGCCGACTGGCTGACTGGCTGGTTGACTGCTTTGTGTGTTGTTGTTGCTGTCGCTGCTGCTGTTATTTTTTTTCTCTTTATTTTTTCACAGTAATTTCGATGTTAACCGCTGCTTATACACAATCAAAGTGTGACGTTTTGCGTCCGTCGTGCTACGTTGTTTGGCAGTGTGTTGCGGTGCTGGTGTGTACGCGTATTCCGTTTATTAATAAGATTGATATTCTGTAGCTAAGCACGATTCAGTTTCAGATTCGAACGGGTGACAAACAGTTCCACACACCGCATTTCACGACGGAGTGCAAAATTCAAACGAGCACATTTCTCTCAAGTTCATCTCAGAAAAGTGTTAAATGAAACGAGCAGAAAAAAATAACTGTGTGAATTAAACGATTCAGTGGGACCAATAAGAAAAAGAGAAGGAAAAATATACAAGTGAAGAATCCGTCGAATTCTCACTGTCAAAACACAGTGAAAACAAAAGCAATCTCGAAATACGTTCACTGCAAAGACATTAATCACTTGAAAACAAAACATAGACAGAGTAAAGTGTGTCGGGTTCGGACCGGCATTCAGAGACTGCTATTGCTGCTGCTACTGTATGCAGCTGATAACAAACAACTGATAAATCAAACGGCAAAAAAAATCCAAAATACAAAACAATAACATCGAAAACTCATTGGATTTCCGATTTCCAATGCAACTCACACCAGTGAAACGGACAAACAAAAACAATGCTTTTTGATCGCGATAGCTGACGATTGCTCATTTTTCATGTTTGACATTCGTCAAATAAATTTATTCGTGTAAAAAAAGCAGCAACAACAGAAAATTTGTTTTTTCTTTCGTCGTTCGCCGTTTTCCTCTTTCGTATGTGTTTGTTTCATTTTGGCTACGGTAACAATCACTGCGAAACGCAAAAAATCTGCGCAAATTTTAAATATGGCATTAAAACTGAAGTGGACTACAAACGGTTTTTGAAGAGAGTGTGTGGATATCGATAGAGAGAATTCAATTCACAAATCAGTGCATTAAATCGCGTTTTGTGTGCTCGACATTCGTGCGCTATCAACCGCCCAACCGACCGCTTGCCCGGCGTGTGTTTCCTCTCGAAAATATCACAGCATTCATATGGAAATTTCACCGTCACAACAGCCGTCTTCAACACTAATAACAAGCGCGAAATATCTGTAATATTTTGTGCTCGCCATTCGTCGAAGAAATTGTTTCCATTCATTTGCGCCGATTTCTTCGAATTGTATTTATTTTTCTCCGTTCGTTCGTTCATTCGTTCATGGTTCAATTTGCGCTGATTTCATTCGAATGTGATATTTATGAATGATCATAAGTGATTTTAGTAGTTTTTTTTTTAAATGTTGATAAGTTTTGCTATTTATTTTCATCGTTTTTACTTAAATGAAATCGTCTGGTTGTGCAAGTACAAAAAAGTTGTTGGTTAAACCTTTACCTGTTTGCTAGTAAATAATTAACTTCGAATAAACTAGCAT